TTCACGCTGCCTCGGAAGCGCTGTCATAGTCTTTACCACCTTTGACAGGCCCGTGTGCCCTGCAAGGTGAGCCAGGCTGGCCTCGCTTCCTTCTTAACAAGATATACAACCTATCCCGAAGTGGGAAGTTTCCTGTCCCTGTGAGATGGGGCCTTGGGCAAATGGAGAGAAACAGTGCAGCTTTCCAGGGACAGGCCCAGAAACAATTTATATGGACCAAAGATAAGGTTGCTACTCTTCAGTGGAAAGTTTGGTGCAGAGAAAATCGGGGCAAACCAGAAGCCCTATTAGTTTATTTTCTGCTATTGCACAGTACAGGCAGGATTCCAAACTCCTAGTGGCTAAAAATACACACATTTCCAGAAATCCGAAGTGTTTAATTTGAATCATATCTGAAGTAAAAGACAAGCAGTCTGCTACATGGGGATCTCTTCTGAAACCAAGAAAACAAGAGTGGTTTGGAAGTGGAGCCATTCTCCAAACAGCTCCCATCAACGGGATCTGAGGCCTCCCTAAATGCCAACGATTAGAGCTTTGCAGAAGATTAGAAAACATTCTACTGCAAACAGCACTCCCAGATCCCCAGAAACCAGGTCACTACTATGTAAACAATTTGCACCACTTCATAAACAGATAAAAATATCAAGTCGGTTCGGTGTAAACAGACCAACAGCGGAAGCCAGCATCCTTCTCAGATGGGGCTCTCCAAAGCAGCAGACACAGTCTTAGCTGATTGAGCATTGCACTGGACTGTTCTCATTTAAATGATTACTTTTTCTGAATTCTGGCCCATTTACTGAGAAGCCAGTGGCAGGATAACAGTAAATTCCGGGTGGCCCATAGCAAGTTCCAGACGCCACTGCATAACCGCTAGCTCGGCCCCATTCAACTTTCGCAACCATTTTCATGCTATGATTCAAAGATTTGAGCTGAACAGGGTAGACATGAAAAAGACAAATCAGTGAGACCCATGGGCAGACTTTGCCAGGAAAACTAGGAGGGAGAGACTGCCTGGAGTGAACCCCGAACACGGGGGGCAGGGCCCGTGACCCGCAAAGCGCCTAGCCTGTTCTGGCTCCTGTCCTGCTCCCAGAATGGTGCCGACTCGCGGTCTCTCCCTCCTAGTTGTCCTGGTTTTCACTCTGCCAGTCCCTCGGCCCTGCTCCCCGGAAGCATGCTCCCCGGAAACAAGCTTTATCCCAGGGCTGCCTTGGGGAGACCTGGGGTAAAACTATTCAGTGCCCGCATCACCCGGGTGTTTAAAGATGCTCAACACAACTGAAACGTTTTCATTTTTTTCAGGGATATTTTCCCTAGGCGTTATTTTAGGAACTTAGCAAACATTTCACTCAAAGATTGATCAGTATATTTTATGAAGTATCTCCATTTACTGACACCTTCATTATTTACATGGAGCTAGATCTGAGCACGGACCAAAGAATAAAGGAAGGAAGGAAGGAAAGAATGAAAGAAGGAAGGAAGGAGGGAGGGAAGGGGAAGTAAGGGGGCGAACGTGGGAGGGAGGGGAGGACAGAGTCAAAACAGATATGTTGATTCCTTGACAGATTCGGAGAATCCATGGCATTTTTGAGAAACCATTCTCTATGACTCTTTTTGTGATAACAAAGAATTCCAAGATGTTAACTATAACTATGTTTTATTTGTTTCCATTTCCTTTCATTTTCTCGCTCCCAGTTCCTACCACTCTTCTCCCTGCTCGCTGTGCGATGGGGATACAGCAGAGGAACGGAGCCGGGGCCGGGGGAGGGGCTGGCGCGGGGCCCATCTGAGCCATGACCTGATTCACACCAAGGGGCAAGGAGGGCGGAGACCGTGTTAGAGCCGCGCGCTAGAGCGGAAATAATACTTGACCTTGTATTTCTTTAGAAAACTCACAAAAAACATACCGTTGTAGTATACCCTGCAAATTAAATTTTTCACTTGCTCTTCATGAAAACTTCATGCATCTGCTTTGTTCTCTTAAAAAGCAGTGTAAATATTCTATAGAGTAAGGATGCTACATTTCTTCGGTCATTTTTCCTACTGAATGATATTTCAGCCTTTTTGTGTACATATCAAACTGACAGTTATTTCTGGGAAAGGAACTAGGATTGGCTTGGTAATCAAACGAGCATTAACCTGCACCTATGAATTTTAATGTCTTATGAGGAGAATATATTCAGAAACTTAGAAGTACTAATTCTTTTCAAACTCAGGTGCCTAAATTTACATAAAAAGACAGGCCAACAGATTTCACTCATATGTGGAGTATAAG